AGGGACACAACAGGAGGTCAGAAACAACACCAAAAATGACCAGGCTTCTTGCATTCTCTCTAGTGTCCACCAGGGGGCGACTCCTCTGGTTGTATAGAAGTCTATGAGAAAATTACTCTACTTCTCTCTTGATTTATTACCTCAGTAAACATTGTAAACATTCAAAATGGTTCCTCACTGCTAATTTAATGCTTCTCAGCGCCTCAGGTAAGCAGCACGACACACACACACACACCTTCAGGATCGGTCGGGACAGGTTCATGCCATCAAAGGTCAGCTCATCATCGTAGTGAGACGCATCTTCGTAGTACGACTCCGGAGCCTGAGAACGCAACACGCAACGGTTATCATGGTAACCTAAAAAAGAACTGTTCAAGAACCTGAAGTCATCATAAGCTCCTCCTCCTCTTCCTCACCTCATCTCCCATCTTCCTCCTCTTCCCCCGTCGTTCTTTGTCTCTCACGGTGTCTGACAGAAAACAGGAAGTCGGTCAACAATTAGTAATTTAAACATTGTTCACTTTTTTAACAAACAAAGTTCAGTCTTCATTAAAGTTTTCTGTTTGTTTTGTTTGACTGAGTTCGGTCATAATGATTTTTAGATTTTATTGGATTTATCTGGTTATTAAAACTGATTTGATATTTGGATTTATTGGTAAAACAACAGAATCAAAATGATTAAAATGTTTCTGCTTCCTGTCGGGAATCAAAATAAAAGCCTCTGCTGGACTCACCTGATTTGGTGAGAATCTCCTCATCACTCGAATCAAACTCATCTTCCTCCTCCTCATCACCCCCTTCAGCCTCTCCTGCATCAGGCTTCACATCCTGCTCTTCATCATCATCATCCTCATCCTCCTCTTCCTGGTTCTTCTCTGAAGACCCTTCAGCAGGGTCGATCTCAGGTGATTTCTCCTGCAGATGAAAAAAAACTTCCATCTTTAACGCATGAAGTGGAACCCGGACAGACAGGAAGTAGAACGTGACACCAGACTCACATCAGCTTTCCTCTTCTTCCTGATTTTCTCTATTTTCTGGTCCAGAGTGGTCGCGGTTCTCTGCATACAAAGAACACAATTACAAAACAGTGTTGGAGAACATCAGAGGACCAAAACACTACTGGAGAACATATAAGATCTGTTCTGCTGGGTTCTACCTTGATCTTGATCTGTTTCATGACGTCTTCCATCGCCCACTCTTCTCCACGGGCCGGTGCATCCCGCTCTCCAAACTCAAAGTCACCATTGAAGTCTGTCGCACCGCGAGTCCCGAACTTCTTCTTCCTGTTCAGGACGATCGGCTGGTCCTGACACACACACACACACACACACACACACACACACACACACACACACACACACACACATTAATACACACAAATAGATACACACGCAGCTGCAGCATTTTAACAGACCAAAAAACGGACCTACCCCCAATTCTTCGTATACAATAATAATTATAAATACAAAGTAATTGTTTATAAAAGTTGTGTCAAATATAACTATTTAAACCATGTGACACTTTAATTACTGTAACATAAAATTAGAAATCATATTTTTTTTATATATATATATATATATATATATATAGATATCATGTATTTCATCATAGTATAAAATACTAAACTTTAAATAAACGTGCACTTTGTTATTGATACCTCAGACTGCTGGGCTGATGATTATGTTATTTTATACTTTAACTAATGACTGACTCAATATCATAAACATCTCAACTGTATGTTTAGAATCCTTTAATTCCTAAATTTACAGGTAAAATGTCTCAACAGAAGATTTAAATATTTATATGGAACCTGACTTCTGTTCACTTTATAACTTTGTCACTCTTGTTTGTATTTCTGTAGCAACTGTTGTTGTCATTTTGTTGGTTTAGAGAAGAGTAAATATAATCATTTAATCAGAACCCTCCTGGATCAAACAGCGGTTAATCTACTGTTCTCCAGCCGGGCTCTGGTTCGCCCTCAAGCCGCCTGGTCGTGTCGTTTTGCCGGGTAGAAATCCAGCTGTGTGGTCCGGCCCTACTCACCTCCTGGTCGGACTCGGTATCGGGTTCTTCCGGACTCTCGTCCTCGTCCCGGAGCGTCCCGATCAGACCCAGCTGCTCCAACATGGCGGACTCCGCTTTCGGTACCTGCTCACCTGACTGTGGACGTACTGTGGACCGGTTCTAGATGGATTCTGTAAAGGTTCTCCTGTCGTTTTCTCTCCACACACGTACACACGTGTGTTGACGGAAACAGGACGTGAGAGCGGGTGTTTCCGGTTCACGTTCTTCTTCTAGGTTTTCATTGGCGGTTGATAAATAGCTTTCAGGCTCATTACCGCCACCCACTGATCTGGAGTGTGACCTACACTCTAATGTGTCGACAAAACAAAACGAAAAAACAAGAAAGAAAGACATGAATAAAATAAAATAAAGCGAGTAAATAAATAAGTAATAGTCTGCTCATCTCGTCTTATTGATCCTAAATACTAACTTTTTTTTCATGTTCCTGCATGGCTTAATAGTAGGTATTGTAGGACGTTACCTCTTTGAAAAACAGCCCACTATACTCGATGGCATTTCTCCGTTTCTACCCACAAAGCTTGCACAGAGGTTTTACCCCCC